CGACCACTCGGCCAACGAGGCAAGGCAATAGGCCAGGCACGGCAACGAGGGATGGAGGGGTAAATAATTGTAAAAAATCTGCTTACGTAATATTTGAACGGCCCCCTAATATTGAATTTCTTTAATAATTCGCTATCAATGTCAATGTCGATACTTCGGTACAAATAACAGAATATAATATTATAGATACTCTGTGCATAGGTACCTACCTAATTTCTGTTACAAAATTATACTAATTTTACACAAAAAAAAACAATCTTTGTATTAAACAAAGCATACCTATATGTAAAATTTTCATATATTTTTAAATACGTGTAAAAATATGTTTTATAGCTTAAGATTGTAAAGAATTTTGTTGTAATTTAGAATATATAAGCGGGATTTATGAATGTTTTAATAATTACTTAGTTTTACGAACTATAATAATGTTAAATTAAAACGTAGATTATATTATTTTAAATTAATTCACAAACTGTAAGACGAGAGGGTGAGAATCTCTGACAAAAATTCAAATGTTTGCAGTCAATTGGTTTCAGTTCTCAAAACTAGATGTCGCGACTAATTTCATTTTTCAATAACATTGCCATTTTGTGATGTTTTATTCAGTAACAGAATTAATTTTTAATTTTTATGTTTTATAACTAATTCCACACAAATACGCTAGTATTGTATAGTAATTTAAATTATTTTTAATTATATAAGGTTTTAAATTTTGTAAAAAAGGAATTTATAGAGAAATACAAGTTATTTTTAATTTTGAGCATAATTTTTTTATTTTTCAAGAATCGCCAATTTCGACTCGACCGAAGTGATTTCACGGCCTCACAGTATAGTAGGGGAGCCCACGATGCTAAATTTGGATTTACTCGAGCGTCGTTGGAACTTACTGGATTTTAAAAATATGGTGATAGAAAGAAAAAATGGTTTAGTGACAATTTCTTACACCGGTGGGGGAAGGGGGAATCCACAGATCTTTGAATCTGTTACGCGTAACTTTTGTTCTAGTGGTCGAGCGTGTCAGATATTGATAATGTACATGCTCCATGTGTATTTAATAATAAAAAACTCTTAATCTGCCAGTTTGCATGGTGGGGTTGAATGTTCTGGAGAGTACAAACGAGAACCCTTCAAAATCCCCCCACTCTTGCAAATCAAGTTGGAATGGGCAGATTTTTTAAACGCACTTCCTTTAGCACGGTATTGACCTACCTTCCCTTAATCTGACGAAACTGACTTTATTTAGTCAGACTTTTTTTTTAATTTTTAGTCCCCCCTTTCTAATCAGATCGGATATATGTTGGGTATATTCAACATGACACTAGGTTTTCCCCATATGTTAATCTGACGCGCTCGAGTAACTACCGAAATCCCTTCATGGGCTCCCCTACTAGTAGAATCGTAACGAGTACGCGTCCGGCGCTCTGATTGGTTGCTTCATTGGTGCCGGCCAATCAGAGTGCCAAACGCATAGGTACTCGTAGAAACCGAACGCATACTCATACTGTTAGTTGACAACTACTTAGTCAAATTCAATACTTTTATTGAAACGTCAAAAACGATATTGTTCTATGAATTTTTTATGACGTCATCATATTTTCGCGTCAAATAGCACACTTATATCTAAAAAAAATGCGAGAATTGTTAAATCGAAAATTAAGTAGTTTATACTGTTTTTCCTGTCGAAGGACTGCAGGAAGAGATCCCTATGGAAATATGTAGTACCTATGTACCTTCAATTTATTTATATGTATATGTATTCTCCTGTATATTGTCTATGTCTGGTGCACAAATGAATAATAAATAAATAAATAAAAACATATTAAAAATTTTACCATAGAAACACATCAATCGAGTAAAATAAAACCAAATACTTTAAAAATATTATTTTATTAAAAAAGCGTTCCTATGAAGTGTGGTGGGACTAGAACAGTACACTCACAATTTATATTATAGCTACTTGTCCCTTTCACACACGTCCTTAACTAATAAAATCACTTATAAACTAGAAAAATAATAAAAAAATACATTTCACATAATTGTTTTTCACGCAGTAGATATTCATATCTGCGTATTGCAAGATAACATTTCAAATCGGCGTACTATTAGCACAATTCAAAACGGCGTAGTTCCGAAACAGCGTATGATGTATCCCAGTTTACGTTAGACTTGCGTAGTTAAGAGCTAGTGTGAAAACGACAATAACAAAACAATCGGTTAGTAACGTCAGGACTACGATACGGTACGGAACCGTTGTGCGTAGTGGTGACGTCACGTAATTTTTCAGTTTTTTTTATTTTCGCAATTTACGGCCGGTTTCAATAACCTGAGAATTTACTAAAGATTTTTGATTCATATTGTTCGGAGCTAATGTCAAAATTATATCTCATAGCCCGCCGCAGATGTGAAATCAAACTCGCGCTTTTTTATGACACTGTGTCAATGTCGTTTTGACATTGGTGGGCACGTCTGTGTTCACGAGAATTCAATGGAGAATGATACTGTGACGTAAATTAAAGAAGTACCTAGCGTTTGTATCTTTTTTAAATAAAAAAAAATACAATACTACTATAATACTATATGGCACATTGTGCTATGACGTCACAGTACAACGTAAATTCTATATGAAAGTGTAAGTCATAAAACTTCCGACTCATATAATTTGGCCAGTTTTGATGTACAACAAAACTAACTAGAATAGATCTATTCACAATATAGAGGGTTTCATCTTCACCCATTGCTTTAACGAGTCGTAACTCAGTCAGTGTCTCTGTTGTTAGGAGACGAAACCAAAGCAAGATGGCCGCGAACGTGCCGACTAATGTCAAAGCAACATTGGCGCAGTCTCGTGAACGAGTGCGAATGTGCGATGGGTGTTGTACAGAGGCCTTAGATCGAGATTTTTTGACGTTCAAAGTTATCAAAACGAGACCACGTTCGACGCTCTGATTGGCTGACTCAAAAGACATCTGCAGCTGTAGCCAAATGCCACTTAGCGTTTGTCTACATGTAGAATAGAAAACCAAATTATACGGGATTGACGAAAATTTTGACACTTGTCAGTGTCATCCCCATACATTTAGTTTTCTACTCTCTCTGTAGACAAGCGCTAAAGTGGCGTTTGGCTAAAGGCATAGGTTATTAAAACTGGCCGATAGACAGCGACTTATTGCCGTTCTATCGCTCGTGTTGATTCAGTCTACGTAAACTAGTTACATCCATGCCGTAAATCGAAAATGACGATGGCTCCGTGAATTTTACCTGAAAAATGAACATTAATATTACTAAATTAATTAAAATCGCGGGTATCACGTGAGTAACGTGAATATACTGAGAAAAGCTCTACTAGTTTCGAACCACAGGTTCCTCATGAGCAGCGTGCGCGGTCGCGGCGACGTCGCGCAACTCACCTCTCAGTATATTCAGTTAATTTAATATGTCACACGACAGTTATTATAAAAACATTAATATTAATGTAAAGATAACTAGCGAAAGGGATAAAACAGGGCAGTTAACAACTAGTCAAATTCAATACTCTTTTCGAACTGTCAAAAACGACAGTTTTCTATGAATTTTGTACGAGATTGTGTATTGTGACATCAGGTTTTTTTAGCGTCAAACAGCATACTTATTTCTTAATTTTTTTTGGAAATGTACTAAAATTAAGTTGGTCATACAATCAATTAATGAAAGTTTGATTATTTTTTAATATTTTACTTTATTATTGAACAGTCAAAATAATTTATTTTTTGTTAAGGAAAGCATCCAATTATTGAAAACAGCCAAATCGGTTCAGCCGTTCTCGCGCTTTAGTGAGACTAACTAGAAAACTAGAATTTGATCTTTATTTATATAGATTTGTGAACGAGGATTCTTCTTATTTCATTGTATTGAGTGAATCATTTTACAAATGACCATTTCTCAACATTACTTTGGTTTAAGATCGATGTGAAATATTTTTAATAATAGACTTAGACAGCACCCTTCAATACCAACATCTATAAGCCAAATTAATTAAAATCGCGGGTTACTCACGTGAATATATTGAGAAAAGCTCTACTAGCTGCGCGACATCGCCGCGACCGCACACGCTACTTATGAGGAAGAACCCCTCTGTGGTTCGAAACTAGTAGAGATTTTCACAGTATATTCACGTGAGTAACCCGCGATTTTATTTTACAGTGAAACTTGGTTAAGTGGGACCTGGATAAGTGAGAAACCTCCATAACTGGAACTCATGCTGAGGTCACACATTTTGGCACTGAATTACCTCTGTTAATGGGATGAGGTAAACCTCTATATCTGGGATTTGTTCTTTCGATTTATCATCATAGTTACCTCTACAACTGAAACAGCGAGTAAATTTTATATGCATAAACCTCTGTAACTGATATAACATTGTTTGTTTACTCATTCTTATTCTACCCACAAATTCCATAGGTAATTCCATGTCCACCTTTATTAATGGAACCCTCTGTAAATGAGACAGATATTTATTTATACCTGTATATCTGTGACACTGGGTAAGTGGAATACCTCTATAAGTTAAACGACTTTGCAGGTCCCTTGATGTCTCACTTAACCAGGTTTCACTGTATTCAGTATGTCTCACGATAGTTATTATAAAATCATTTGATATGCCGTTGTATAGGGCTTTTTAAAGGGCATTTTAATTCCCAATAAAAGATAAACTTTACAAACCTCTTTTTCATCTTCACTAACGGGCTCTAACTGTTTGCTGATTCTTCGTGGCTGTAAATAAATTCATTTTAAGTTACTTCAAATATCTGGCATCGTTTTTTATTATATCCTATCCTATATGGACGAAATTTTGCAAAGAAGATTTGAGAACTTATAATGCCTATCTAGTTTTATCTTCAACTAGTTTCTGCCCGCACAATCACATTTATTCCGTTCCCGGTATTCGAAAAATCCTTGGAAAAGAAGTATCCTATGTCCGTCTACTAGTTCTATGCTATCTCTCTTTTTTGTGGGAGAAACATCATTCAATGATTTCTCAAGCTTTGGCGAGAGAGAGAGAGTGTCAGATTCTTACTGACTAAACACCACCCTATTCCTACTCCTGCACAGAGCCGGAGCCGTGGCAACCCGTTAGGTCTTCCGCGGCTAAGCTACCTCCCTAGCAATTCTCAGCCATATCAACTAAGCCGTTCTTGAGTTTAACACGAAATTTCTCGCGAACGAAGTTACAGGTGGATAATAAGAAAATATGTATTTATACAAGTGACTGAGAGAGTGACAGCTAGTACACAGCTGTAACTACTGCGCGTAGCAATCTGAGAGACATACAGCGCGCTAGAGGAGTGTAAGGGAATGCTGAGAGAGAATCTCGCGACACTATTTATTTAAGTAGTACAATATTACTCACTGTTTCTTCCAATTTAACTTCACACGTGGGCGGTATGTTCGGACCGAGCTTCTCAGCTAGGCATTGTACCTGTTAAATAATCGAAGCGATGTAAATTCACGTGGGAGAGCTATGCTTTGATAGTATTCGGTCAGCTCAAACAGAATTGATATCACTAGTAGGCTTTTGATCATGAGCCTATTTGCAGATGGTTAGATGACTGAGTTTAGATGTAAGTCGTATTTGATTCTTACATTAGGGTATTGTGAGAAGCAGGCCCTGGCTCTGCCGATGCAAGGCGGCGCTACCGCACGCCCGTAACGATCTCGGTCAGCCGGATCAAACATGTAATACCCTGCAAATAAAATATAATATCTGTCACCATCCCTCCTCGTCCCGCGTTTTTCGGAGGAGGCGAATCTCCAATATTCAAATTCATCAAACATCAAGTCAAAAAAATTAAAATGAAATCATTTATTTGTGAACATAATGGATGTGGTTATATAAAGTTGTTCGAATGATTGACATACGATGCTATACAGCGAGTCCGTCTATGTCTTGCCTTGAAGCATAGGTAAGAACATTTATATCAATTCAGAAAAACAAAAATAAATACATGAACAGTTATTTAAGGATCAACACAGGAACAAACATTTATTATGAAAGTTAAAGCATATAAGGTTTTGAAATATTTTTGACTTTAAAAGAATTTCACTTACCACGCGGTGTCCTGAACAATGCCACAGCAAAGTCTCCTTTACCAGCGACGAAGACTCCCGCTTTCTCTTCTCTGAAGAATTCTCCTATCTAGGGTAATAAATTTTAACATTAAAGCCCCGTACTGTGTGGCAATGGTAGAATCAAAACAGTATTCTTCCCAAGGTTCTCGAATCCACTAAATGCGCAGCAGCAGCAGCGCTCTCCGATAAACCTGAACCTTTTACTATTTCCAGACGTGGAGATTATAGTAAATCCCTCTTAAGCAAAGAAGGTTCATAGTCCAGTAGTGAACTGACACCCGCTGTTGATGGTAATAACTGACAACTTTATCCCACGGTGCACAGAAACTACAGAGCGCCACCTACTACGCTCCTTACATACTTCTTTAGCTTCCATCACATTCATACATCTGATGGTATACAGAAACTACAGAGCGCCACCTACTACGCTCCTTACATACTTCTTTAGCTTCCATCACATTCATACATCTGATGGTATACAGAAACTACAGAGCGCCACCTACTACGCTCCTTACATACTTCTTTAGCTTCCATCACATTCATACATCTGATGGTATACAGAAACTACAGAGCGCCACCTACTACGCTCCCTACATACTTCTTTAGCTTCCATCTCGAATCCACTAAATGCGCAGCAGCAGCAGCGCTCTCCGATAAACCTGAACCTTTTACTATTTCCAGACGTGGAGATTATAGTAAATCCCTCTTAAGCAAAGAAGGTTCATAGTCCAGTAGTGAACTGACACCCGCTGTTGATGGTAATAACTGACAACTTTATCCCACGGTGCACAGAAACTACAGAGCGCCACCTACTACGCTCCTTACATACTTCTTTAGCTTCCATCACATTCATACATCTGATGGTATACAGAAACTACAGAGCGCCACCTACTACGCTCCTTACATACTTCTTTAGCTTCCATCATCTTCATATATAAGAAAGGTAGATACAATTGCAATACCTGTTCAACTAGGTCGGCATCAACGACACCCTTGTGTCTGGACTTATAGACGACTACACGACAAACACAATTGCCTGGTGTATAGAACTTTCGAAGAATCTGTATGGAAGAGGAAGAACTATTATTTGTATCATATCTCCCGTAATTATGAGATATTATAAGTGAATGTTTTACGGCGAACTCACATAAATATTTAACGAGATAACTCAACTACTTATAATCCGTTCAAAATTACATTAGGTATTTAAGAAACCCTTGTTTAGGCAGGCTTGTATGACTTACCACACCTATAGATCGATCATCGATCGATACCATTAATGGCAGTAGTTAGAATGTATAACGGCCGAATGTGGATATGTATCGATTTTTACCATAACTTATAGGAGTTTCTGGCAAAAATCGATCTATATTCATAGTATTTTTGGGCAAGCCCGCTACAAAATTTCTGTAAACCAGGATTTACAGTAAATATAACCGTACAAACACCAGAACACTGAAGACCATTAGTCGACGTCGATCGAGCCCCATTGTCGGCCGATGCCATCGACCAGCAATCGTATCTGTCGATCAATGAAATGTATCTAACATAGTAATCGATCAACATCGACCGTTGTCAATCGATGAATCGACCCCACGAGGTAACAGCCTAAGTGTCCGTTGAACCAATTTAAATCTTCATTATGGTTTGGTAAAATGACAAATGCAGTTAATAATTGTTTTTAGCTTTTAATGTGCATAACGTTGCTTTAGTGTATGCCCTCATCAAACTATTACGCGAGTTTTAGGCTAAAAATGACGATACCTAAGTACGTGTGTCGCCTGGACAGTCAACCTCGCTACATCCTTGTTCTTACCTGTTCAATGTTTAATATCTTAGTGGATGGATGGAAGTGTAGGTAGCTGTCCTGGTACAGCTGGTCTCCGCTCTCCAGGACCTGGTCCAGGGTGGACGAGCACCAGCGGCACACATCCTCGACTCGAGACATAGCCACTGCCATTACTGAGCATGCTAAGGCCTGAAATTATTAGAATATACATAGAGGTAATTTATTTCAGTGCAAGACTTAACATCACGCCTTTTATCAAAGGAGTAGGCAGAGGTGCACATTACGGCATGTAATAGGGGGTGAGCCTATATATAATCATATAATAATAAACTCATAAACTCTGTGCTACTCCTGAGATTTTGTTTAAAAACCTACTTATACTTTCCCGGCCCGGGAAAAGAATCCGAGACCCCTCACCCCGAGTCACTTGCGACCCCTCGGACGCGAGGCAGTCGTGGAAGACCACAATATAAATTCAACACATCAATACTTAAAAATAGAAAAGTTAGACGAAGCCGTTGCCTATTTGATATGCGAAGAAACACCGAAACAGACTTAGCAAATACATGGCCATTTTAACCAACCACTACTAAACCATTTCTAAACCAAGAGTTATATAGCTTGCAGGAGCACCTACACTAACCCCCTGATCTGTACCTTTAGGTGTCACTTATAGGTTGGTGACAACCAGAATGACGTATAAGCATCGCCTATATTATCTTGGGGGTATCTCAAGATGAAAGAGGAATTGATGAAAATGGCCATGTATCTCCTTTGGTTTACCACTATAAAATAAACAGTTATGATGACGTTTTAAGTGTATGCTGTAAAATCTTATTGCGATTTTCTCGTGTGGCGTAATGGAGCCGGTATTTTCAAAACTCACAAAACCGCAGTTCTGCTATCCCGCAGCCGCCACGGTTGCGAATGGCCGGCAAACTTGGCGGGTGATTATAGCAAGACGGGCGAGCGGTTAAACAATCAGTTGAGTTCCAGACCGACCCTCCCATTACCAAGCCGCAAACAAATCGCAACCGCCGCGGGCGTGAGACACACCGTGAAGATTCCTTTGACTTTTAACATACATATATAATATGATAAGTGTTCCAGAGCCATGCTTCAGCACGAATGGGCCGGCTAGACAGGTGTGATACCACGGCCTCACAGAAAACCGAGGTGAAGCAACGCTTGCGTTGTGTTTCGTCGTGTGAGTAAGGTTACCGGACTGAGGCCCAATTACCCTTCCGTTCCCCAATCTCCCCAATCCCTGAATCCCCAACGATCCTCAAACTCCTAATCCCCAAAAAGCCGGTAACGCACTTGTAACGCCTAGGGTGTTCCAGGTGACCATGGGCGACGCCGATTGCTTACCATCAGGTGATCCGTCTGCTCGTTTACCGGCTTATGCCATAAAAAAACATACCTGTATTCTATATAGGTTGTAGGGCCCGCAACCGCAACGAGTGCGGGAGTAAATATCGCGCCGTGAGTCCTAAGTCTTAGTCGATTCACAAATTAAGGTACCGATGTCTATTATGTGGCATTACCTGGCATCCTCTAGAAGCACACGGGAACTTCCTGCAGGCTATCGAGTGCTGAGCCGACATGAACTGAGTACCGTCGTTGAGGACCAGCCAACCACTTGTGTTACGCTGACCTGGGAAACGAAAGCATCACCATCATCTCTTCTCCTTAGATGCCTTATCTATTATAGATATTATATAGATTATTATAGATTATATAATTCTTCTGTGAGTGTGTATGTCACTGAACTTCTCTCAAACGACGGGGCCGATTTTGATGAAATCTTTTGTGTCTGTTCAAGGGGATCTGGGAATGGTTAAGATTCACAAATCAGCCCGGCAGATGGCGCTGCAGTCGATGTTTAGGTTATTTATCCTAAACAGCCGAACTAATTTGAATGAATTTTTGTTTATACATTCAAATGGATATGCAGGACAACGTCTGTTGGGTCCGCTAGTAGATATATAAAAATGAAACCCGTTTCCCGTTGTCACGCCATAACTTGAGAATGGGTGAACCGATTTGGCTGATTTTTTTTTTGTTGTGTTCGTTATTGTCAGGATAAAGTTCTTATGATAGTAAAATATCCTGAAAATCTTATGGGAACAAGAGAAAACGGGATTGCGCGTACGAAGTCGCGGGCAGAAGCTTGTAATTAATAGAAGTTACTTGCTAGTGCTATTTGCGCGCACATTAGTATCACATAACTGTTTGACGAAGTAACTTAATAACTATAGTTAGAATTTTAATTACATTCCAGATTTAACAATAGCTACTGTCATTTTGTGAAATAATGATACCACATATAATAGTATAGTGATGAACACAAAAATCGATAAACAATCAGTGTGTGTGTTTTATAATAAATGTTACAGAAAGTGACAGGATAGCGATAGCGATGACGGCGACAATTTATAAAATAACTTATTACCATAATACATCTATCTGTTTTATTTGTCATGTTCCTTCATGATTACATTTTTTTATTTATTTCACACACAATTATAAAAGAAAAGTCTCAGATCGTTAATTAAGTAATCGTCAAAACTAAATTATCGGTTGAGAAATATTTAATTTCCTGATATATTTAGTTTACGAGAGTAAAATTATAAACGAGAAGAATCGATCCAGAAATATTGCATTTCCAACTCGAATAATTTCGTAACGTCACCATTTAGTACTTGTCAATAGTGATAGTGAAATAGTGACGGTACTAAATAGTACCACACTGAAATTGTCAAATCTGGAATCGAATTAAAATTCCGAGTATAGAAATCTTTTTTATATTTGATGGACCGACATTTGACCGCTATCTCGTCTGGTGGAAAGCCATGATACGGCCAACGATGGGGCAAGTCTACCCGAAAACAACCTATTCACTCTGGCCTTGAAGACACCCAGGTTATACCTTCAGGAAACACAGGCTCTAGCAGGGATCATCGTTTCGTAGCTCACACGACGCGATGAGTCAAATACAGCCAAAATGAACACCGCTGGCGTGGCTTCAAGCTAGTCAAATTACCTCGTCACACAATTACGTGACTCAAGACATAAAACCGAACCATAATTAGTTACATATATAACATCACGCCTTTTATCCCCGAAGGGGGGTAGGTAGAGGTGCACAATACGGCACTCAATACCACTGTACAATGTAACACCTACTTTTCTCTATTTATGTTATGAGTCCCATGTAATAGGCGGTGAGCCTATTGCCATATACCGGGCACGATTCCAGACTCCGTGCTACTCCTGAGATTTTTAAAAACCCAATAATACTTTGTCCGACCCGGGAATCGAACCCGAGACCCCTTGCCCCGGCAGTCGCACTTGCAACCACTCGGCCAATGAGGCAGTCATAATTAGTTACCTATTTCCTAAAATAATAGAATGTGAGAACTGTGCTTTCCTTATCTATACAGATAAATAAAATTCGAGTGTCTATTTATAATATTGACAGAACCGCTTTTTACTACACGCATATGAATATACGATACATTATACCAAAATAAAACTTCTTAAAATTTTTGTCAGTCTGTCTGCTTGAACTGGCTACTCTAAAATAGCTGGACCAGTTATGACGGGACTTTATTGGCAGGCAGCTAATGTACTACGGAGCAACATATAATGAAACGCAAACGGAGATGCAGGTTCAGCTAGTATTATATTGTATACAGGTCGGTTCCAACCTCGCGATGTGTAGTCATTGGGGGAGGACTGTGGGGGGTAGTGGTTGTACATGATAGATGGACGTCATACGAACCTTTCAGTTTAGTTTGTTCCTTGTCTGCCTTTTCAGCGGCACGCTGAGCGTCCATGCAAGTGGCGCTTCCTGGTGGATGCTTGCGGTCCTTCTCCTCAGCTCTGCGCTTGCTACCATCTATACCCACCTATGTTGGACATAAATATGCTACAGTCATCACTACATAGTATAAACTAAGGTCGCTTTCCACTATCTGATACACATGTATGCTTAGATCTTTAAAAGAACACAACGGATTTTAATGCGATTGTTTTGATTTTTAATCCTAATTTTTAAAACCTTATTCCTGATCGTCAACCCAATCTCAAGAATGTAAATAAAGAAATTTTTGATATATCTTTATTTAAAGGCTTTTCCCACACAAAGGTACGTACTGTTACGAGAGTCCTTTAGGATTTCTTTTTAAAAAAAACTAATTTTATATTAGAACTATTTTTAATTAGTTAAAGGACTGAGTATACAACCGTACCGTTCGGAGATCTTGTCCAGACTGAGGGGTCTGGCATGCCACCTTACACGCTAAGATATAATAATGATGACGATGTAGTTTTATGTCATCCCAGCATAAACCCTTACATGTCAGGGATATAACAGTACGTATATCAGCCTCATGATACCCTAATCTAACTTAGAACTAAGTAAATGTAGTTATATATTTTTTACTAACTTAACTTACTTATTGCCTTATTTTATGTTATTTCTAATCTTTACTTACTTTAACTTACTTTACTTTCTTTACTTTAAGTACTAAAAAGCCTTTTTTTGGGACAAGCTCGCTACAATCTTCCAAAACTGCAACTCCTGTACACCAGGATCTACAGTAGATACATCCATGCAAATACTGGAACACTGAAGTCCAAAGTCCCAGGGACATGAACAACTGTCTTGATTCCCGCAATAAACCTTCTAGTTGGTGTTTTTTTCTCTTCTTATTAGAGGACTTTCCAATATTAAAAGAAACTGTAACATAGAGAAGTCATCTCACCTTACTAGTAGCAGGTACAAGTTTGACTCCAGGCGGTGCCCTCACTATCGGAGGCTCGACTCCTCCCATTTTCTTAATCGGTTGCACCGTTATAGACATAGCATAGAGTTGGAAATCATGTTTGGGTCGTTCAGTTACCGGGACATTTTGAAGATACCTAAACCACACAATTTATTTATTGTCGAAGTGATGTCAGAAAAGAAAAAATTGGTTGTGTCAGAATTTAAAAGACCTCTCAACATATTTGATGATGATGATGGGTTTAAGAAAATATATAATATATAAGCTAACCTCAATAAAGAAAGATGCCGACTACGTACTGCTAACGACGTGTACTTTTATGTGATGGAAGCTAAAGAAGTATGTAAGGAGCGTAGTAGGTGGCGCTCTGTAGTTTCTGTATACCATCAGATGTATGAATGTGATGGAAGCTAAAGAAGTATGTAAGGAGCGTAGTAGGTGGCGCTCTGTAGTTTCTGTATACCATCAGATGTATGAATGTGATGGAAGCTAAAGAAGTATGTAAGGAGCGTAGTAGGTGGCGGCGCTCTGTAGTCTCTGTATACCATCAGATGTATGAATGTGATGGAAGCTAAAGAAGTATGTAATGAGCGTAGTAGGTGGCGCTCTGTAGTTTCTGTATACCATCAGATGTATGAATGTGATGGAAGCTAAAGAAGTATGTAAGGAGCGTAGTAGGTGGCGCTCTGTAGTTTCTGTATACCATCAGATGTATGAATGTGATGGAAGCTAAAGAAGTATGTAAGGAGCGTAGTAGGTGGCGCTCTGTAGTTTCTGTATACCATCAGATGTATGAATGTGATGGAAGCTAAAGAAGTATGTAAGGAGCGTAGTAGGTGGCGCTCTGTAGTTTCTGTATACCATCAGATGTATGAATGTGATGGAAGCTAAAGAAGTATGTAAGGAGCGTAGTAGGTGGCGCTCTGTAGTTTCTGTATACCATCAGATGTATGAATGTGATGGAAGCTAAAGAAGTATGTAAGGAGCGTAGTAGGTGGCGCTCTGTAGTTTCTGTATACCATCAGATATATGAATGTGATGGAAGCTAAAGAAGTATGTAAGGAGCGTAGTAGGTGGCGCTCTGTAGTTTCTGTATACCATCAGATGTATGAATGTGATGGAAGCTAAAGAAGTATGTAAGGAGCGTAGTAGGTGGCGCTCTGTAGTTTCTGTATACCATCAGATGTATGAATGTGATGGAAGCTAAACAAGATACAATTAAGTTACAAGTATAATGGAACCTAAGGCACAAACCGTGGCCACTTTTTTCGTGATAGGGATAGTTCAAGCATTTTATATTATCTTAACAGAAATCCATTTTCTTAAAATTTCGTTAGCTCATTTTCTTGTAGACACGACTTAAACAAGGTGTGAATGATGTGAATGTGAAATTAACTTTGAACTCATCCCTTCAAGAAAAATCTGGCCATAGTTCGGGGCGAGGAATACAATTTGTTATGGAATACTAACGCAAAGGCCATCAATTTCGGAGATGTGAAAGTTAGGACGCAAGCAGCACCGTCGTCCTACGACAAAATATTAATTAAAAAGTGACATTTAACAGCGCCACGTGGTGACGAATACATTTGCCACCACCGCTACTCTTCCAGCGGGTGTCGTGCACCCGACTGAGGGAATACACATTTGACAGAGACTGGGCAGCAGTGCTCTCTGATAAACCTGAACCTTCTACACTGCGATATTTAACCCGCGCTTCTGAACATGGTTAGCCTTCCTCTACATGGGACGGTATTAGCCACAATGTCCACCTGATGGCTGGCAAGTTAGAGATAGCAGTTTAAGAAGTTCAGTGCCTTTAGCCAAACGCCACTTTAGCGCTTGTCTACAGAGAGAGTAGAAATCAAAATGTATGGGGATGACACTGGCAAGTGTCAAAATTTACGTCAATTCCATATAATTTGGTTTTCTATTCTACATGTAGACAAGCGCTAAATTGCATTTGGCTACAGCTGCTGGTTTATCAGAAAGCGCTGCTGTACAGTTGGCAAGCTCAAGGTGGGATATAACATATATAACATCTTTTTTTGTAGAGGAAGCCCATAGTCGCGTTCCACTGTCGTGAGCTATTAATGATGACAATGATAGGAATTTTATAACTGTTAATAAACGTCGGTTGATGAAATGCTCTTTAGCTGGTTGCCTGGACAGTCAACCTCGCTACATCCTTGTTGACTGGACATCTACACTACATGAGCTGCTGTTTACATGTGAACATTAGCTCATGACGATACCTAATTACGTGTGTCGCCTGGACAGTCAACCTCGCTACATCCTTGTTGACTGGACATCTATACTACATGAACTACGGTTTACATATGACTTAAGTACTACATGAGGAGATACTGACCATGGCATCGACTCGCAGTCCCGTCGGTCCACAGGCATGGGGCTCGAACATGTAGAACGATGGGGCTCCAGCCACGCGCCACACACATACAGCATGGGGCACCGACCATAGGATGCCATGGGTATGAGCCTCGAAGAAGCGCTCTAAAGCACATCTGTATCAAATCATCAATAAAATTACTGTTTCTTTTCTATGAGAACAGATGTATCGCCTGATGGTAAGCAATTGGCACCGCCCATGAACACCCGAAATACTAGATGAATTACATTAACTCCGACTCCTTCCGGCGAGACTGCGAGAGGCGAAAGAGAGTGTCAGACTCTTATTGACTAAACACCACGAAATCCTGCTTCGAGTCGCGGAGAACCTAACGGGTAACCGGGGCTCCGGCTCGACGTGCAGGAGAAGGAACGGGGTGGTTATTAGTCATTAAGAGTCTGACACTTCCTCCCGTCTCACGCAGGTGGGAGCAGTCATTCGATGATTTTTCCCCCTTAAAAGAAACTCCTGTTTCGAGCCGAAGCTCAGGTAACCCGTTAAGTCTGCCGCAGCTTCAGCCAAACATCAGCCCTACTGGGCCCCATCTGTAGTGGTCTGATGACTCTTTGGAAGACCTTACATACCTGACAGTCATTTGTGTCGGTTCCTTCTGTTCCAATTTCCCTGTGAAGACTTCTTCAAGGTCGTATCTAACGTAGTTCACTCCTAGGACGAAGCGTTTTAGTACCTGCGAATTATATCCGAAATTCATCATCATATCAGCCAAGAGAACGTCGTATGCAGCTTTGTGAGTAAGATTACGGAAGGGTTGATTCTACCTTCCAATATGCCTATCCTCAAATCCTTTTTTTATTGTATAAACTGGTAAACGAAGTGATAGTCAAAGTTAAATTGTTTTAAAACATTAGATAACTATCGTGAGACATACTAAATTACTTGCTCACTTGAGTGAGCTGCGCGACGTCGCCGCGACCGTGCACGCTGCTGATGAGGAAGAACCCCTCTGTGGTTCGAAACTAGTAGAGCTTTTCGCAGTATATACACGTGAGTAACCCGTGACATCGTATGACGTCACGATTTATTACATTTTATAGGGTAGCGTGTCGTAACGACCTCCCACTCCAAACTTAACTCCGTTTTATCTAAGTATTGTATTCTTATACGACAAAATAAAAAAATACGCGTCCAATATTTTTTCATTATCTCACTGACGGACTGATTACATTTTTTTTAATTTACATACACTGTCTACTACCCTATTAGGCACTTTTGAAACGTCAAAAATTGAATTGTCCGACCGTCTGTCTGTTAGTGACGCTAGACAAACGAACAGACGGATCACCTGATGGTAAGCAATCGGCGTCACCCATGGACACCTGGAAAACCAGCGGCTTACAGATGCATTACTTGCAAAGTCAAAGTCATAGCATTTATTTCAATTAAACCATAATTTGGTACTTTTGAAACGTCAACAAATACAAAACAAATAATAGTCTGTCAGTCTGTCCGTCAGTCAGTGAAGCTAGGTGAAGCTAGGTGCTCATTCAAAAAATGTACATTCGAATGGAGAAGAACGAGCAAGAAACTCCATTCGATACTTTGCTCTTTGGGGATAAGGAATTTGAGGATTGTTTGGGGATTGAGAGGTTAAGGAGATTGGGGAGGAGGGTCATTGGACCTCCGGTAACCTCACTCACGCGCTACTCAACACAAGCGTTGTTTCACTATGGTCTTCTGCTCGGCCGTGGTATCACTCCGGTCGAGCCGGCCCATTCGTGCCGAAGCATGGCTCTCCCACACCTAGATGCACGATTTAAATATACAAACCTGTAAAGGTAACAAAACATCTTCACCAGGTCGGAACTCATATCCAAGGGATCCAAGAGACGCCGTGAAGAGATGACAGGCCACGGAAATGACTTCGTCCACCGTCTTCCTAGTCCACAGGTGCGGACGTCGAACGTGGGACATCGCGGCGCCTACAATGGCCGCGCAAGCTGATTGAAGCAACGCGTCCCTTGTGAACCTGATGACGACAAAATCTTTACTTTAGTATATAAAGCCAACGAGTTTGTTTGTTTGGATGCGATTATCTCCGGAACAGCTGGTTCAAATTAAATAATTCTTCTCTATTAGCTATAAAATATCATACGCTACGATGTTACTTCTTCTTTACAATATTAGTTTAGAGAAGGCAAGCTTGTGAGAATGTATTGTATACTGGCTTCTGCCCGCGACTTCGTACTGTTAGGCTCGGACAAAAAAAAGGCTGGACCCCAGAGGAGACTTTTAAAAAGTTTGGTTTTACAGATTCTTTGATTTTATATAGTTTGGAACGAGAATTAGAAAACGTATGGCTCTTAGGGCTACCCAAATGGAACTAACTAGAAGCCTAAGTCCGGAACCCGGCGACGGTTGGTTATCTTAATGAGTTAGTATAGTATCTGGAAATACTGCTTATCTCTGTATTTGATATCATGTTCAGTACCGGGAAGTGCGGAAGAGCACTTCTAACGTTTTATTTATGTTTAACGGACATCGCAAGGCTATAAAAGTACGCGCAATAACATATTTCCAGTTTCCGTTCGTCATTTTTGGTAAAATGTAAAAAAAAGTATACCATGTCCGTCTCCTGTTAAACTTAAACTGTCAAACACCGCGAGGACACCGGTGACCGCAACCTATTGTTCTATAATTGTGTCTATAATGAGTATAACGGTAGGTACTCAACGAGTTAAGCTTTGTTAAGCTGTTCCCATCAATTTTTAACCAATTCGATTTAGCCGTTCTGGTGTTCTAAATAGTGTAACTAACACGATTTTCTTTGTATAGATGTGTGTGTGTGTGTGTGTGTGTGTGTTGAGTTTTGGGATCCAATCAGAGATCGAGCAAATTATTATCAGGACTTTTGGGTTTCGAAAAATTCTCAAAAACAGCCTATAATATAGTCTGAAATTGTTCTCGTGTATTCAAAATAACTAAATTTCAAAATATAACTGATAGTAAGTAAAAATATTTAAAATCCGCCTTACTCCACAATGAGGTCAGGAACTTACTTCATTAGATCAGGAGGTCTGGTCCCTCTCAAAATGGTCCTCCCTCTGGCTGTCTCCACGAACGCAGTGAGGACCTTCCACTCATATCCCTCATCAGGCACGGCTCCCTGAGGAGTGACTGGACTCGCCAACTTCGAAAATTCCCAGAAAACTTTTACTGCCGATATATAGAACCTGGAGATAAAGAAACGTCATTTTTAGCATGATTTCTTTAGATCGACCTGTAACGAACTATGTAACAAAATCTAAAAATCTGAATTACACACACTTGTAATTATTGCATATGTACAATTGTACATTTTTATTTATTTTATTTTATTTAGGAAACAAACAGTCACATAAAAAACAAAACTTATATAAGAAAACAATAGGTTCAAAAAGACTTCGAGTTCCATACAATTTTTAAGTGTAGCATGAAAGTAACCTACCCACAATTTATTTTAAACAGAATACACAAGCACATATGTAGATTAGATGACAATACCTACAATATTATGGTGGCATCAAGCTGATTTGATGATGGAATCGGAAGATAGCTGATGGAACCTTGGGCTGCCTACTAGTAAACATATCGAGCTTAGGCTTATTAGGTATCTAATGAGCCTATTTTTATTATTATTTTATGTATATAGTATATAGCTACGGCCTAGTGCTGAAAATCGGTGCCGTGACTCTAGCTATAGCGCCTCATTTGCATTTTTGTTGGCATTTTTATAATGGTGTAAATAAATTAACACGTTCGAGGACAGAACGAGATTATACGTTATCGTTCGAGATTTTAATATCGCACAACGTACGATGACGTTCAAATAACATTTAAATTATACGGCAGAACGTTCATTTCCGATGAAAGTTCAAGTAAAATTCCTTTTGAATGTATCTTGTGTCACAACACATAAAATATCCAACACTGTACTGTCACGTAGGGTAAGTTTAGAACTATTTCAAATAAGTGCCATTGATAGTGTGCGGTTACGGTATTTACATACGCACAACGTATTTATACGTCCCGCGCTCCTACGTTCAACGCGGCTGTGTCACTGTGTATTATGTGTTTAATGCAAATTAATGATTTTACAGTGTGAAATTGATGTTTAATGGGTTATTGTATGTTTTAGACGGATATAAGCGCAAATAAGGCATAGGATAAGCATGTTTGATGATTCCGACACCTCCAACGAGGCGTATCATTACCAAGATGCATATACACGGTGACGTGATAAAACGGTTGTGTCATGATATGTTTAAAACAATATTTTTGCATGGGACACTACGTACTGATACGTCGTATAATTTTGTATAGACATTTACTGTGTCATTCTGGAAACCCGACTCAAGTGGTAGCGTCCTCGAACGTGTTAATAAACTGCAGCTGTAGCCAAATGCCATTTAGCGCTTGTCTACATGTACAATAAAAAACCGAATTATATGGAATTGACACTTGTCAGTGTCATCCCCATACAATTTATGATTTTTACTCTCTCGGTAGACAAGCGCTAAGTGGCGTTTGGCTAAATACACTGTTTTTCTTTCTTTGTTCATTTTTTCCTCCTCATGACTGTCATTTATAATAGTTCCTACACTATATAGTACAGTGCATGTGATATGATGAATAGTGTCGCTAGAATCGCTTATTACCAAGCAAGATAGTGTTCAAACGTCGGCCCATCAAATATAAAAAAAACAGTCCAGTAGTTTCGGCTGTGCGTTGTCGATCTATCAGTCAATCAGTAACGAAAGAGTTTTATATAGATAGAAAGACTACTTACTTGTTATCTCCAGGTTTCATGAGACCTTCGACGTTAGCTCTGAAGGTGTCTGCCAACTCCTCGACGTTGGAGAAGACCACCAGTGCTGCTGCTCCAGCTGGGGAAGTCTTCCCAGCTGGACCTACGGCGTGTGGCTCCAACATAACAAAGGACTTATCATCAGACCCCTTCCATATCCCCACACAGTAGCCTTTTGCGCATAGAACACCGTACTTGTGCTGAAAAGTGGAATAATTTATGCATAAACATAACATCTCACCTTTTTACCCGAAGGGGTAGGCAGAGCTGCACATTAAGGGACACCCACTTTTCGCTATTTATGTTATGAGTCTCATGTAATAGGAGGTGAGCCTATTGCCATATACCGAGCACAATTCCAGACTCCGACTACTAAACATTTTTTGATAATGTGTAATATCTATGGCGATGGAAAAACATACCGATGTGAAGAAACTAGTGATAGCCTTCTTCAGACTGTTCACACTACCAGTCTCGCCTGCCTTGATGTCCCCTCCGGCCACGTCACCTTCTATCTCCAATTTCACCTATAGAACAACACTAGTTAAATAGAGGATAATTAAAAAAGTGACGATGATGAAGATGATGACGAGGATGATGCTTCACCTAAAGAGTAATGCTCAATTTAAATGCTCAATGATTTTATAATAACTATATCGTGAGATTTAGGCCCGATTTTTGCAAAGCCAGATAAATTTTAACTAAGGATTAACTCTGAATATTTGACAATATTTCCATACTAAAACTGTCAACTGTCAATTTTATTGTACAGTTAAGAATTAACTGATGATTGAAAAATCGACCCATAATGAATGAACTTAAATCACTAGTTTACTCACGTCAATATACTGAGTAAAGCTCGACTAGTTTCGAGTCACAGACGAACTGTTCCTCATGAGCAGCGTGCGAGGTCGCGGTGCTGTCGCAAAGTCTACTTATGTCTCGAAAATAGTATAGCTTTTCTCAGTATATTTACGTGAGTTTTTTTAAGGGGGGAAAATCATCGAATGACTGCTCCCGCCTGGGTGAGGCGGGAGGGAGTGTCAGACTCTTACTGACTAAAAACCACCCCATTCCTACTCCTGCACTTCGAGCCGGAGCCCTGGTAACCCGTTAGGTTAGGTTACATGATCAAAAATGATGATAAATTTTATGAAATACGGATAGGTGATGGGAGGAAAAGACAAAAGAAGGAGATGTAAACAAAGATATACATATAGCTTGTAAAAATAATGCATATCGCTTAAAACTGAACGATCTAGAAGCCATTGAGAGAGGCAATGATACGAGTAATATAAGTAAAAAGGTGTCAAACGGTTATCAGCGCTCAGAAATTGGCATGTTAAAATGTAGATAACTGGACACATTTCATAGAGTTGCGTTGCGCTGTCAACGTATTCATGGTGCGCTAATGTGATATTTTTAAAGATTGTTCCTGACGTCACAACGGGCTCACCACCACACGTGGCCCGCGACCGCTGCGATCTGTGGTCATTCATTCACTCGCTCGCCCGACACGACGCCGTGCGCACATATCGGTTGACCCTTACAATCAGTACCTATTTAAATACAGTCTTCTCATCATACCGAAGTCTTTTATTATTCACGACCACCAGCAATACACCTGGAGCTTGATATTCATACAGTGATCACTGTATGTGTCGTCAAGAACAAGATCGTATTTTGTTTAGGTAACCTGTCTACACTATTTTACTTATAATAGCATTGGAGGGATATTGGCCGTTCCTATGAATGTATCTTATAAGGTAGATGAAGAAATAAAGACAAACTTACATTGAAATTCGTGACATGGAATTCTGGTACCATTTCTTTGGGCTTAAGCTGAGGTGGTGATGATGCATTCCCTATAGACATCGTGTAGAGCCTGTCTCCGTACTTGAGTACAGCGTCCAAGAGTTCTGGTTTCCAAAACATGTAAGGCTCTATGTGGTGGACCACTATACCCATTACTGCATTGGCTGCGTCCTGGAAAAAAATATTAAACTAGTTTCTGCCAGCGGCTTAGACTGGTTTCCGTGAGATGAAAGTACGCTATTGATTATTCCAGACCACAATCTAGCTCTGTACCAAATTTCATCCCGCGCCGCGCCGTACGTTCGGGTCTGTTTCTGGTCGGACGGGGAGCCACCCATGCTCGCCGTCCGCAGGCCCGCGCTTACGGTGGCCGGAGATCGTCCCGCAATCCCCGACGCCCGGTGTGTCCTTCGCGATGGCTGGGTTGCGAGGAGGCAGCGCTTCGCTGCCTCACGCGTCCCGCCTCCTCCTTAGCTAGCATGACTGCTTCGCAAAAGGAGGAGACGACATCCCAGTCCCCCTCGCTCCGCATCATGGCCTGCACAAGGCCCGGACGCGAGAGGTTGCCATCGCCGATCACTTCCCTGAGGGCACGGCGGTGCTCAGCCCACGCAGGGCATTCTCCCACCGTGTGTTCCACCGTGTCCTCAGGGCGGTCCTCGCAGTGATGACACCCGGGTGTTTCCTCCCGCCCCATCAGACACAGGTACCTCCCGAAACTTCCATGTCCGGTGAGGACCTGCGTCAGGCGGTAGGTGAGGACGCCGTAGCGTCTCTCAAGCCACTCCTCAAAGAGGGAACTTACCGCTGCGATGGCAGCGAGCCCAAAGTTGCAACACTAGCGCCCATTGCATCCGTATTGAGTGGATGTTTAATGAACTAAATGGTATTGAGTTTGGCTTTATATTCCGTACTCTGAAAGCTATTTTAACAGCTACGATTGTGGTTGTATAGTGTTGACATTGAATAATAATTATTATTGTTATTTTGCATTGAAATTAAATTGACGTTGAGATTGAACCTTTGCTGATTTGGCGTCCTATATTATAAAAAGCTAGACGAAAGTCGCTTACCTGATTATCCCTGTTAGGTTGATCCATGAAGTAATTCTCGTTCTGTGCCAGTCTGGCTCTGACCGACGCAGTGGACCGAGATATGCGGTCCATGTACTTGCCCATAGCAGAGTCATCCAGAGCAGGGACCAGAACCTCTTCCGAAGCTGTTGAGTGTATTCAATATGGTAATAACGTATATTATTATAAGGGTTTATAAGATTTCCGGATCGGTCAAAGTACTACTGGGTTTTTTAAAAATTCTCATTAGTAGCACGGAGTCTGGAACTGTGGCAATAGGCTCACCCCCTATTTCATGGGACTCATAACATAAATAGTGAAAAGTCGGTGTTACATTGTACAGTGTTATAATGTGTACCTCTGTCTACCCCTTCGAGGGTAAAAGGTGTGATGTTATGATGATGATAATATTATAAGGGTAGCGACATACATTGATAATTCACTGACAAATGATAGATGACACATCATTGTGCCAGTGAAGTTTGCACGCGATTAGACATGGATGGAAAATCCCAACGTACAACTGTTGGGCAGTAGCCCGCCAGATACGACCACCTCGCCTGGTCGGAGGTCAGTTTAAAAAAGCCAGTAATACTTTGCCCGACCCGGGAATCGAACCCGATACCCTTTGCCCGACAGTCACACTTGCGACCACTCGACCAATGAGGCAGTCAAACATGAAAAGAAATATCGTGATGAAACTTGGACTCATAAAATCTAATTTATAAGTTTGAAATCGTCAACCATCATTGAACAAGCGTGGATTAATGCTCATTCCTTCTCCGAATGAAGAGGCCTTAGCTTAGCAGTAGAATTTGTTTTTATGGGACAAGCCCGCCACAATCTCCCAAAACCGCTGCAACTCCTGTAAGCCAGGATCTACAGTAGATACAACCATGAAAACATCGGAACACTGAAGTCCGGCGCGTCCCAGGTAAACTAACTGTCTTGATTCCCGCAACGACATGAAATAGAAGATATTATAAGAAGGGAAGAAAACAAAGCAGCAGGATACTTATAGGCTGATGATGAATTTTAAGGTGATTTGATTAGTCTGTACTTACCTCCACCGCCTTCCTCATCACCTTCCGCCTTTTCCTTGACGGGACCTCCTCTCTTCTCGCGCAGGACTGATGTCAACTCATTAATGACCTTCACTGGGTACAGCTTGTAAGGTGCTATACACTGCTTCGGGTCCAGACCGCCTTGCCGAGCTGTTTGGAACGTCATGCTCATCATGAAATCTGTCACACTCTGTTCACTGTCTCCCACAGTCCTCGCCACATGACTACACATCGAGTTTGGAAGCTACACGTGTGACCTTTATCAGGATTTTATGTGGGACACCTTTTGACAGTTTTATTTTAGAGTTTTTATTATCTTCTCTTCTCTATGGTTTAAGTTTCCAGTTTCCTGTGAGGTGAATTGTAGGTAGCACACACATACACAGTGAAATGCTGCGAGAGGTATCTCGAATAAAACTAACTGTAGGTCTACCTACCTACTTGGCTAGGTTTAAGTACCTCATCCTCTACCTCTAGTGTTGCGAGTGTCCATTGGACGAGCTGTTTACTTACCACCAGGTGATCTGTCTGCTCGTTTACCACTCTATACTATGAAAAAGAAACCGGCAGTCTGATATCACGTGGCAGTCGATATAATTATGGAATAACTTACTGAGTTTGTCGATAAACTCTCCAGGACTAGCGGCCACGATGAGCACTGGACATGACTCCGGCGGCACCACTTCAATTTCTGGCTCTGGCTTCTCTTCACCCTCTGAAATACATACATAAACTCACATATTTTCAGAAACTACAGAGCGCCACCTACTACGCTCCTTACATACTTCTTTAGCTTCCATCACATTCATACATCTGATGGTATACAGAAACTACAGAGCGCCACCTACTACGCTCCTTACATACTTCTTTAGCTTCCATCGCATTCATACATCTGATGGTATACAGAAACTACAGAGCGCCACCTACTACGCTCCTTACATACTTCTTTAGCTTCCATCACATTCATACATCTGATGGTATACAGAAACTACAGAGCGCCACCTACTACGCTCCTTACATACTTCTTTAGCTTCCATCACATTCATACATCTGATGGTATACAGAAACTACAGAGCGCCACCTACTACGCTCCTTACATACTTCTTTAGCTTCCATCACATTCATACATCTGATGGTATACAGAAACTACAGAGCGCCACCTACTACGCTCCTTACATACTTCTTTAGCTTCCATCACATTCATACATCTGATGGTATACAGAAACTACAGAGCGCCACCTACTACGCTCCTTACATACTTCTTTAGCTTCCATCACATTCATACATCTGATGGTATACAGAAACTACAGAGCGCCACCTACTACGCTCCTTACATACTTCTTTAGCTTCCATCACATTCATACATCTGATGGTATACAGAAACTACAGAGCGCCACCTACTACGCTCCTTACATACTTCTTTAGCTTCCATCACATTCATACATCTGATGGTATACAGAAACTACAGAGCGCCACCTACTACGCTCCTTACATACTTCTTTAGCTTCCATCGCATTCATACATCTGATGGTATGCAGAAACTACAGAGCGCCACCTACTACGCTCCTTACATACTTCTTTAGCTTCCATCACATTCATACATCTGATGGTATACAGAAACTACAGAGCGCCACCTACTACCCTCCTTACATACTTCTTTAGCTCCCATCATATTCATACAGAAACCAATATTATGATAAAACTTACCGCCGCCGGCTTCTTCATCTTCATCTCCTGCATCGCCAGCGCTTTCGCCAGTCATCTCATCCTTCAAACGCTGTAGCCTCAGCTCATCACCTGAGCACATTGAGCGTAGTCTGTAGATCATTTATAGCTATAGCTCCTTATTTTTTTACTAAGAATGCAACTGATTATTCAAGTAAGAACTTTGATGGAATAAAAAAAAAACAAAAAGCATTTAACCAAAAATCGCGGATTACTTCACGTGCCACTCAAAAAGCATTTGTTTCACTTAAACCCTACATAGGTAGGTAAGGTACTTTTAAGACAAGTAATAAATCAAAATAATGAGTTCTATTTCACCAATATTTATATTCATAACGCAAGTTGTTATGAAAAATAATTGATAATATGGTATAGTCAAAGACTGTGTACCAAATATCAGATCGATCTGTCGCCATGAAGGGAGTGAAATTCCAACTATTGAATTTAATACAAAGACAAAAATACGGCTCAAACTAAATAAAACCATATTATAATAACAATCCAATTTTATATCATCCATATTTTATTTCCAAAAGACATTATTTTGAAAGAATCACCGCGCTATAAAGTCGGAGTCACGAGTTACACTGAATAGAAACAAGCGAGTTCGCACAGTTAACGCAGTATGACTCCCCCGCCGCCCCGCTCGATCCGGACACAAACTCAATGTCATAACAGCGAGCTGACTATACCTCTATAAACGAAATATTCCTACAACATTTTAGTTTCTAGGACTAATAGTTTTTCGTTACGGTCCACTTTGGGTACCCGTATGTTTCAAAACGCCATGATATTATAAAGAGGAAAGATTTGTACCTATTTTTGTATGTTTGTAATGAATAGGCTCAAAAGTACTGGGCCGATTGAAAAAATTCTTCCACTAAAAGAGTACTACATTCTTCCAATTTGACATAGGCTACATTTCATTTTGAAAAAAAGGGATCCTTGGTAATATCTGAACAATGTAACCGAAGGTGTAAAAAAATAAGTCTTAAAATGTCTTTCGTCGAATGTGCTGCCGAAATTATTTAGAACAAAATAATGTACAACAATATTGAAGAACATCATAATGTCTACAAAAAACTCCGCGGTAGCATATGTCCAACTATTGTAGTTATGTTACTAAGTACAACAATCCAAATTTCCAAAAATAAATAATTGTCTACCCCGTGCGAAGCCGGGACGGGCTGCTAGTAGGTTATAAAACTCTGCTCAAATCACATCATACCTTTCTTAATCCTCTGAGAGGTCAACAGACCCTTGACCATAGTGGGTGCAGGGTCGAAGGCCACCACTTTACCCCCTGCTGCCATCCAAAGCCCGAGCTGATGGTAATCGCCAACCAGTAACGATATAGTCGTCGGTTTTGTGGTATCATACCACATCTTGAAGAGCAGATCCTTCATGTCTAATTAAAAAAAACGAATTGGATATATTATTACGATAATAAAATGAAGAATAATAATAGATTTTCTAAAAACTAACGTTTCATTTCATCTTTCACTTCTTCTTCTCCTTCTCCTAAGCCTTCTTTGTCGCCGCCACCGCCTTCTCCTTCCTGTTAGTTATTTTTTATTTTATTTTTACATTTAGAAAACTTACAGCTAGAATTGACAATTTTATATAACTATGATTAAAGTATGGCCAATTACAAGTTTTCGCATATATTTGCTAAGTACCTATTTAAAAAAATATATCGTGACTTGCCGACAGTAGTCAATAAATTACAAACTTCAGCCACTCACATTTTTTCCACTCAATATGTCAGCAAGCAATACAAGGAAAGAAAAATAATAATAAAAAGCGGTAACATCTACATCTATGACAATATGAAGAACCAAGATAAAATAACACAAACAAAAGAACCATTAACGAAAAGTTTTTTTTTATAATTATGCTGTTTTAACTAAGGAAGCACAGGAAAACCAGAACCGATCCAACCGACTAGTTACGATGTGTGAAAAAGTGGTTATGTACATTAGTAAATATTTTACAAGACGATAAAGCTACTTTAGCGCCTCGAGTGGAACAAGTGTTATATTTATCGAGAACTTATGAGAATCAAGAATCTCAAAACACCATCATTATCGCGATTAACCATAGGATCATCGTCATCATCATCATCATCAGCCTATAAGTGTCTGTGTACTGAGAATAGGTCTCTTTTTTATGGCATAAGCCGGTAAACTAGCAGACGGATCACCTGATGTTAAGCAATCGGCATCGCCCTTGGACACCTGGAACACCAGAGGCGTTACGAGTGCGTTACCGGCCTTTTGGAAATTGGGAATTTGAGGATTGTGGAGGACTTGGGGATTGGGGAGACTGGGGAGGGGGGTGATTGGGCTTCTGGTAACTGACGATACCGACACTCACACGACGAAACACAACGCAAGGGTTGTTTCACGTCGGTCTCCTGTCTCTTCTCACATAGAGAAGGAATGAGCATGGATTGCAACTTGCTCAAGGGGGATTGGCATCCATTAAAGAAGGTGAACATTGTCCTTTCGGGTTATAAAAGGCGTCAAACATCATGATCAAAGATAAAGTCAAAATCATTTATTTTAATTATACCAAGAAGGCACTATTGGACGTCAAAACAATCTGTAACTCCTCTAGTGTTGCGGGTGTCCATGTACAGCGCTGATTGCTTACCATCAGGTGATTCGTGTGCTCGTAAACCATAAAAGTGTGCTACAAACGACTCACTCCTGGAGTTTCATCAGGCAGTCGTAAAGGCAGTCTGATAGCTTCTCCAAGTTCTATGGAAAAAGTGTTGGCACCCATCTCGAACTTCTCAGTCAAATCTTCTGGCTCTATAGTTTGTCGTCCCGTCTTCTTTAAGTGATTCAGATAATAATCTGCTCCAGCGTCTGCGGATGACGGCAGTGTGATCTCAAACACGACATTTTATTTAATTTTAATTTGATTAATTTAAGGCAATATGACATAACAAGTCAAGAAACAGAGATAATATAAACATGTAAAGAAATTATATTTTGTTTAATAATTATTGTTCATATGAGATTTAAGTAATTAAACTTTTTTATGTTACCATCTAGATAACATTTAGAATCTATGGATTGAGAACTGTCAAAACAAGAGACGTGATAATTGAATATCTTACGGAAAGTAATTAAAATTGATGAAAAGGGAGATTTGGAATTTAAATAATAGGCTTAATCGTCGTTTCTTTGATTTCTTCAACATTTCCAAATAATCCAACCATTACAAACATATTATCATAATTAAAAAAAAATATTATAATAATTTAACTACCTTCAAATTCCCGAAGGAGTAGATAAAGTCAATATTTCATTTCATTAAAGGAAATGTCGAAAGAGGCTACTGAGAGATTGTATGTATACATGCGTAAAATGGGGTGAATAAGGATCAAGAGGTGAATAGGGACAGAAGAGGGTGGATCGATACTATGAAGAATTTCCCAATATTTATTCACCCCCTATTCACCCCATTTTACCATACCTATAGTTGTACACAGAACGCACCGTTTTAAACTCCAATCTACTGCTATAAAGATTTTAGTCAGCCTCTCTCATGTAGAGTAGGCCTCTAGTCCAAGAGTAGACTGTGACAGGATTTAGATGATGACTTACCAAGGAAGTTAAACATATGATCTTGGTGCATATGCGGCGGAGGTACGGACTCAGTGGCAGCCGCGAAGGCAGCTGCGGCAGGCAGGCCAATAGTTCGTCCTGCCATGTCATCCGACTGGGAACAAATATTTTGACCATTTTTAACCATTGTGAGTTGTAAGTTCGAAAACATATCAAAAATATTATACGCTTTAAGTCTAAAATTGAGTAAAGAAAATGTCCGAAACGGGCACAAGACGCGTGATCACTCGCATGGCAATGGTTTGTTTAACTGTCAAACACCGCGAGGACACCGGTGACCGCAACCTATTGTTCTATAATTGTGTCTATAATGACGGTACTCGACGAGTTAAGTATCGCTTAAACTTTAACGGTCTACATGACTGTACTCATATTTGTATCTATGGAAAGCAACATAATATTACGTATCAAAACGACGATGATTAACAAAATAATAACAATAGCTATAACAATAGGGTAGTTTCCTAAATTTTATTTTGATGTCCGTCTGGTACATTAATTTAAAACATTAGACACGTTTTTTTTTCTTTTCTCACAAAATTAAATACTTTCAACGATATATTAATTTGAAATATCGTGCGACGTCAAAGCGTGTCACATTTTGTAGCACGTTATGACGTAACTACCTCCCACTCCTAAACTTAGCGCCATTTTAACTAAGTATTGCAAATTAATAGGAGAAAATAAAAAAATACGTGTCTAATATTTTTTCATTATCTAACTGACGGACTAATTAGATTATTAATTTTTATACCCTGGAAATTACAAAATTAAGCCCGTTTTGAGTGCACCACGCAATGCTTCGCACGCAGCATCCACGCTTAGCGCAGATTTAAGCCCAAAGGTGCTGTTATATATACTAATTTCAAGCACGGAAGCATGCTTCAATTGATCACTTGTCACTTTGTAGCATGTGTGTCGAAACGTTGCTCAAAATTAGCTCATTTCAGGCATGTTTACGGATCGAGGGGCGAGCGATATTCGAACATTTTTGAGCATGCTCAATAGGACGCCTTTTAGCATGCTATTTTAGAGCCCTTTTCATCATTTCACTATTTTTTAGGTATTCAGCAGTATATTTGCTTGCTGCGGTTGTATAATGGGTTGTGTTCTGCGGAATTGTTTGATATGATGCCCACGCCCACTTTCTATCATGGCACCGCTCGCCATCGACAGGGAGTTCACGCTCACACATTGGAGCCCAAATGGTACCGTACAGTTCGGTTTCAGAGGAATTTTCTCCCACGGACCCTCCGATTGTGGAATGAACTGCTGCGGTTTACCTAGTGGGCTACAACATTGGGTTCTTCAAGAGGGGAGTGAATAGGTTTCTTAAGGGTCGGCAAGACGCATGTAATGCCCCAAGTGTTACAGGCGTACATAGGCCACGGTAACCGCTTACCATCAAGTGGGCCGTGTGCTTTTTTGCCATTGTCGTATTATAAAAAAAATAATATTTAAGTTGAACGTGTTGTGCTGTCTGAGTTAATATTTTATTTTCTTATGCATTTTACTTATTCAGTGCATACAGTGTAACTGCTTAACATTCTTCTCCTTTTTTCTCTATTCAAGAATACAAAACAGTCCAATTCTATCTCTATGTTCCCTAATGTCGAAATATCCAAACGTTGCTCAATTTAAGTCACGCTTAAATACAATTATGTCACTATGTATATGTTCTTTGTAAATTGACAGAGATTTTTTTAATTGGGATAATCATCGATTTACTTCTCCCAGCTGGGTGAGGCGAGAGGGAGTGCCAGACTCTTACTGACTAAAAACCACACCGTTCCTACTCCTGCACTTCGAGCTGGAGCCCCGGTAGCCAAAATGACAGATGACACGATATTTAAATACAATTTAAAATTGAGTAGCCTTTCAGTATTTGAGCATAAGTTCTTTAGACACCGCTGAGTGAACGAATGCATCGTGAAGAAATCAAAAGCTCCATACTAACTTTCAACATATACAACAATAACTTATTCTTCAAATAACAAAAAACAAGACTACACTGTTGGTGCGGTGGCTGGGCAACCGGCTGCCGTGCAACGTGTCGCGGGTTCGATTCCCGCACGGAACAACACTTTGTGTGGTCCACAAATTGTTGTTTCGGGTCTGGGTGTCATTGTGTATGTGAACTTGTATGTTTGTAAACGCACCCACGACACAGGAGAAAATTCTAATGTGGGGCAACGTTTAAAAGAAAAAAAACCGTAGCCTAAGAATGGTTTTGATTTCAAACGAATGACCAAAATTTAAAAACTAGTAATTATGAAAGAAATACGGATATAATGAGTTGATGTCTGATAGGAGAAAACCAAATGGGATGAGATATTGCGCCGAACATTATTGATATCATTTAGTTCATTCAATATCCACGCAAAACAAATGCAATGGGCGCTAGTGTTGCAACTCAAGAGTACGACACAACATCAACGTCGATCGATCGGAATTGGATTCGAGAGTAAGCCACATTGGCCCTTCAAGACGGGACGCAAAGGCTGTGTGAACTTCCCAAGGGTATCTCGTCTCTGTGAACACTTCATGGAAAACATCTTTAAACTGTCAAACACCAAGCGGTCACCGGTGACCGCAACCTATTGTTCTAAAATTGTGTCTACAAAACCGGTACTCGACGAGTTAATATGATTTTATAACGCAAAACAGCAAAACGACACGGGCCCTATTGCTCTAGAACTATAGAGCAAAATGCACGCGTCATTTGAAGCTGGTTTCCTGTGAGGCTTAGGTACTAGTATAACAAATGCGAATGTTTCTAAGCCTGTGTGTAATTTGTTACTATATCTAAAGGGATCGGAATTAAATTTGGTACAAAGATAGATTATGGTCTGGAAAACCACATAGGCTGTTTTTTATCCCTAAGAACACGGGCGAAGCCAGCAAAAGCTAGTAAACTGTAACTTTTAAGTCATGCAGATGATGATAAAAACTATTAGTTACTAACTTTTGAACTGCTGACCGCAAGTTCCCAACCAGACACGTATGATATTTCCCTTCGAATCGTATTCATGCCTGTAGGGGATCTGCTCAAGCCAAATGTCTTCCCAAAGCCCGATCCACTGTGGGAGAGACAGATGACCGATTAATAAGTATCGAAATATATGACGCAAGTGGCATTCGAACCTGATAGATTACTCTCTAATTGGGTACTTGCCATCTAGTCAAATTCAATACTTTTTTCGAACTATCAAAAACGACAGTTTACTATGAATTTTGTACGAGATTGTGTATTGTGACGTCACGTTTTTTTAGCGTACTAATTTCATAAATAATGTCATAAAATCAATTAATGAAAGTGTTATTATATTTTTAATATTTTATTATATTGAACAGTCGAAATAATTTAGAAAAGTACCCAATTATCAATTCATAGTTTTGAAGTGAGGTCGATCGCCTTCAAGCCCGTCATTGGTCCAGATTATTCTAACAATCAATCAAATGGCAGACCACGATCGAGTTCACTTCAATCTTTAGAATTGAAAGTTGCTAATAGCTTAACTGCAGTGCTAAGTAGCCCTTGACAAAGCGCTACTACTTACGCCCGAAATCCTCGACCTTTTGGTTCTCCGAGTGTGTTGATATGAATCGAATTTTGACATTAGCTACTGTCAAAAATCGATCGTAATCCACCAATTTCAGATTAAGATCGATCATTCATTTCGGTCGTAAATTAATAGAAAGCCATGTTGGCCCAAAAATTAGCGTTCGAATGCCACTTGAATAAAATTGTCATTCATTAAATTTTAATGAAACTTAATTTGGAATTTTGATGAAATTAAACTCGGTCGGACTGCCTCGTCGGCCGAGTGGTCGCAAGTGCGACTGCCGGGCAAGGGGTAGTATTACTGGGTTTTTAAAAAAATCTCAGTAGTAGCACGGAGTCTGGATTGTGCCCGGTATATGGCAATAGACTCACCCCCTATTACATGGGCAACATAACATAAATAGTGAAAAGTGGGTGTTACATTGTATAGTGGCATAATGTGCACCTCTGCCTACCCCTTCGGGGATAAACGGCATGAAGTTATGTTATGATTAAAATAAAATGGTGCTAACCTGGCTACAATCATTATAGACAGAATTTTGAAAATATGTAGATTTCTAACAAAGTCTAGCCTTCCAGATTATTTATTTTTTTTATTTTTAGCCATGGTCATGCCACTGCAGGTCAAAGGCCTCCCTATCCTCGTTCCACTCGTCTCTTCTTATAGCTTTCTGTGGCCTATCATTTTCATAGGCGTCAACTTCATCCCGCCATCTCCTTCTGTGCCTACCGCGACGTCTATTGACATTCAGTGGTATGTATGTACCAGATAAAAAAGTACGGTACCCGCTTACCATCAGGTGGGCCGTGTGCTTTTTTACCACCGTCGTGGTATAAAATAAATAGACTTTATCAAATATTTATAAGATGAAGGTGTTTAAACAACAGTAGATACCACCACGGGAGTTTTAGTCATGTTTTTTAGCAAACAAATTCGCATTCAATTCAAGTTTTAAAAATCACGAGTTCAGTACCTATAATAGGGGGCGAGCCTACCATGATTTCCAAAATAAAAAACCAAAAATAAATTTTAAAAAAGTCATAAAAAATAAACTTACAAACTGTCCGCAAAAGGCGATGCCCCGGTTTTCTGAGAAATACGTATATCGTACTAAATAAGAGTATACGTTACGCCACTAGAGGCGCTAGTGTAGCATACGGTCTATTGTCCAAAACGAATGTTTGCTAATATCAAAACTATCAAGTCATCAGACATACGTATACGTATAATAGGGTAGATGCCTAATTTTTATTTCAATGTCCGTCTGGTAGATTATTTTAAATCATTAGACACGTATTTTTGATTTTCTTACAGAAACGAATACTTTCGACGATATATTGATTTGAAATGTCGCGTGACGTCACTTCTATGCATATTTTATACGTAGAAATGACGTTTTAGCCCCCACTCCTAAACTTTGATTCGTTTTATCTAAGTATTGTTTTATAATACGTGTTTAATATTTTTTCATTATCTAACTTAAGGATTAATTATTAGTTTTTTAATTTTCATACCCTGTCATCGTCCCAATTTATGGCAGCTCTGCTGATTGGACAATATTTCTTTAAAGAAACGTTGCCCCACCCTATATTTTCTCTGCATTTATAAACATACAATTTTAATATGTATTTGAGTATCTCACAATTGGACTAATAAGACTTAATGCTACACTAGCACCAACTGATGAAAATCAAAGTCTAAAACTTAAAAAGAAAAATAATAAAGATTAGTTGAATACGGAATAATTTCATCCTAAAAAACCCTTCCAAAAAAATGTATTATCTCGTCTGAAGGCAAGCGATGCGCGATTATTACTACTGTAAATACTACAACTTGATAGATTTTTAGGGAACAAAGAGTAGAATTCCCTAAGATCGGAAAAGGAGGATCCTCCGGCCAGGTGAAGTGTTCGTGCCTGGCGGGCTTTCTGTCCAACAACAACAGTTGTTCGTTGGGATTTTCTATCATGTTAATTCGCATGTGCGATGAAGGATTTGTGTGATCATCGTCATTCCCAAGGCGGGAGAAGTAATTGGATGATTTGCCCCCCTCAAAAAAAAAATACTTTTGTGGATGCATGCAAAGAAAGAAATCTTCCAAAGAAAAGATAGATTGTATGAAGAAAGAAAATATATATATAGTTAGATTGTGTGAACAATGATATGTAAGAGACAGGAGTTTGTGATGTAATGACGTCTGATAGGGGAGAATGGAAGGAGACATATTGTAGACACAAGTAACTTGAGATAAGGGCTAGAAGAAGATTCTTCCATTGAGGTTAGCAGAGGCAATGGACCACCAAATAACACGACGATTTCAAATACAAGAAAATAAGGTCTTCATAGTATTTACACTACCCCCTCACCTTTTAACAGGATGTCATCAGAGTCGACTAAGGGACATTAGACAGAGACCGGGCCGCAGCGCTCTCTGATAAACCTGAACCTTTTAGACTGCTCTCTCCAATGCACCTACCAAGCGAGGAGAAAATTGCAAACCCCTTTTATGTAGATGACTTATAACAACTGTTTTTTGTTTTTATTAGACATGTGTTGGCCACTATCTCGCCTGTTGCTGCACGATGATGCGGTCTGTGATGGAGCACGTCGTCCCTTAAGCAACCTATTCACTCGTAACTTGAAGACACCCAAATTGTACCCTTCAGGAAACACAGGCTCTGGCTAATAATTCTAATCCTTACAGTCTAACTAAATTATTAGATTTTTTTAAACGTTCCCACACTCGAATTTTCTCTTGTGTTGTGGGTGCGTTTACAAACATACAAGTCGACATACACAATGATGACATGATAATTATGATGATGAGTTTCTATATCTCTTCACTATTCACGATATCACCCGAATCTCGGCTCATCGTAGCTTGATGTTTTATAGAATTGCTCGATAATAGTTCCGAAGATTAGCACGTTAAAACAAAAAACTCAACAGCATAATAAAAAATAATATTATAAGATATAAGGTAACCATAGATTGTACTTACATTGATACCAGCCTTTTCAGCCGCTTTGCCAATGGCCGAGTTTTCACCTCGAGGTCCCATCATGATAGCGGCCGTCCCTTTATTGATCCATTCAAAGGCCTTGCTCTGAAAACCAATTACATCTTCAATACGGTAGTTGACAGGTCAGGTAGTCAAATTCAATACTTTTATTGAAATGTCAAAAACTACACTATTCTTTTCTACGAATTTTGTATTGGATCGCAACTTATGACGTCATCATATTTCTGCGTTAAACAGCATACTTATTTCCTTACAATTAGCGAGAAAAAATCCAAAAGTATATAAATTGTCAAATCAATGGCGCATCCATTATTATTATTGCATTGAAAAGTTGAAACAATTTATTTTAAACCTTGGAAACTAGACAATTACATGGGCTACTACAACTGCTCCCTAAATTATCTTTCTATTAACAATTTTTATCTTTTTGAAAAATCAAGTAACTTAAAAAGGCCGGTAACGCACTTGTAACTCCTCTGGTGTTGCGGGTGTCCATGGACGACGGCGATTGCTGACCATCAGGTGATCCGTCTGCTCTGTATAAGTCTGATACCGTTACCCGAAATAGTCCTTTAGTTAATTTTATTCTTCCTTATGAGATAGGTCGGCAAACGAGCAGACCTATAACACCAGAGAAGGCACAATCGTTTGTCTTCTGGGAAGGTTGGTGATGAAGGGTACATTGGGTCTCTGATACCCTCACTCACACGGCGAAACTTAACGCAAGCGTAATTTCACGCCGATGTACTGTGAGGTCGTGGTGCGCTGGTCCATTTTTATCAGCCAGAAAATTATCCAATGACTCCTCCCGGCTTTTTTTTTTAAGGGGGGAAAATCATCGAATGACTACTCCCGCCTGGGTGAGGCGGGAGGGAGTGTCAGACTCTTACTGACTAAAAACCACCCCGTTCCTTCTCCTGCACGTCGAGCCGGAGCCGTGGTAACCTGTTAAGTCGTCCGCAGCTCCGTATCGGGCATCAGTCCTACTGAGCCCCAATACCGTAACTACGTCGCGGAGAACGTAACGGGTAATCGGGACTCCGGCTCGACGTGCAGGAGAAGGAACGGGGTGGTTTTTAGTTAGTAAGCGTCTGACACTCCCTCCCGCCTCACCCAGGCGGAAGCAGACATTCGATGATTTTACTCCCTTAAACAAAAATACCGTAACTACAGGGGTGGCAAATTAGCAAAATGGCACGGACCTCGAACTGAAAGACGGCTCAATTCAGATGTTCCCATCTGAACTTCTCTCTTTCTATAGGGAAGAGAGTGCCCATTCGATTTTACTACGAACCTTAAATCGTATAGTTACTCCACTGCTGACCCCATCTGTAGTAGTCTGATGACTTGATACTCACTTCAAGTTTAGTCTCCGGAGCTCCAATCTCAGCATTAAGTTTAGTTGCAGTAATGGCGACGGGAGATATGTTGAAACTGTCATCGCTGCCTGGCGCCAGGTTGCTTAGAAGAACGTTTGCTAGTTCAGTCTCCTTGCCCTTTATACGGACGAGGCAGGCTGTGGCACGAGGTTCTTCTGATGGTAGACCTAAAAAAATTATATTTTGCTATGAACGTTGCATGAAATATGCTAACTTTATGACTTCATACATAATGTTTTTGTGTCAAATGATAATCATGACTTTGGTCCCAACTCCGTAAGTAATTTTGTTAAACAAGAAACCCTAAATGCAGCCGCACTTACAGGTTGCCCCACGCCCATTTTTCAATACAATAATTAATGTTTCTTGATTAAAATCTTCCGCGATTCTTGCCTAGTGTAGCCAGGGCCTAATAAGGGTCATTTTATTTATAAAATCCATAAGTATTCTTTGCTGGACGCGGGATTCAAAGGTAATTTTATTGCCACCTGCAGCGCAACGTGTCTCGGGTTCGATTTCCGCTGGAACAACTCTTTGTATGATCCACAAATTGTTATTCTGGGTCTGAGTATATTTGTAAACACAACCACGACGCAGAATAAAATCCTTGTATGGGGCAACATTTGAAATAGCAACTTACACTCGACTCGAGAATTAAAATCACCAATTTGACAAAGTCAAAGTAAAGTCAAGGTCAAAGCATTTACTTCAACCATTAACAAGTACTTTTGAAACGTCAACAAATAAAGAATTATAGAATAGACTGTCAGTCTATCAGTCAGGGAAGCTAGGTGTTCGTTCTTAAGTGTCGATTCGAATGGAGAAGAACGAGCATGAAAATCCATCGTTACTCTATTAATCAAAATACACTTTTTTTTTTAAGAGGGAAAGTCATCGAATAACTGCTCCCGCCTGGGTGAAGCAGAAGGGAGTGTCAGACTCTTACTGACTAAAAACCGCCCCGTTCCTTCTCCTGCACGTCGAGCCGGAGCCCCGGTTACCCGTTAGGTTCTCCGCGACTCCGAATCGGCATCGGCCCTGTTGGGCCCAATCTGTGGTAGCCTGATGGCTCTTTGAGGCGCGCGCGGAACGCGACGCGCCGTACGCTCGGGATCAAAATACACTGGGGAAACTCACCGTTCTCATCACAGCCATGAGGATCGAAGAAGTAGAAGTGTCCATCATGTTTCCAGATTGCAGTGGAACCACCTCGAGCTGTGAACACTCCATGAGTGTTCTCCTTGAAGAACTGCTTCAGCACGTCCTTCAGAGCTGGTGCTCCGGCGCCGGCATCAGGATTTAGAGTCCCTGGTAAAACATGATGACAGAGTATGAAAATTAAAAATCTATTAATTCAAAGAGCTCTTTAAGAAATGACATGTCAAATATTATATCCTCGTTAACATAAATTCAGTATGGCATAGGACTCCCGGCGCTATTGTCTCCCGAGCCCGCTGCGGTAGCGGAATGGAGACGGAATCTTCAAAACTCACGAGATCGCAGTTTTCTATGGGGTTGCGCAGCCGCCGCGGTCGCGATTATCGCCAACAAACTTGGCGGTTGATTATCAAAAGTCTAAGTACTCACGGCGCGATTTTATCCCGCACCCGTCACGATTGCGGGCCCGCAGCCTTTGTAGAATACAGGTTTGAGCGGTTAAACAATCAGTGAAGTCCCAGACCTGCAGCTGTAGCCAAATGCCATTTAGCGCTTGTCTACATGTAGAATAGAAAACCAAATTATATGGGATTGATGTAAATTTTGACACTTGTCAGTGTCATCCCAACACATTTTGATTTCTACTCTCTCGGTAGACAAGCGCTAAAGTGGCGTTTGGCTAAAGGCCCAGGCTTTCTATTGGGATCGCCCGCCAACCGATCGCAGAGCACGTGGGTTCTAGCCGCTGCGGCTGCGGGCCTACGACCCGTGAAAACTGCTTTGAATATTTAAGTAACGGTAAAATGGTGTGAATAGGGTTTGAGCGGCGAAAAGGGATAGGAGAGGGGTGAATGGATACTATGAAGAATTTCCTTATGTCTATTCACCCTTCTTCTGCCCCTATTCACCTCTTGATTCCTATTCACCCCATTTTACAGTACATATTTCTATGTTCTACAAAGGCTGCAGGCCCGCAACCACGTCAGGCGTGAGAGAAAATCGAGCCGTGAGAACTTAGCCTTAGAAAAGTAATCTATATTATATTACAATATACTCAAATATGAACAATCTCAGTTTTATAACAGCTTGCTTACCGTTAAACGCACTATCCATAACTTCAGTCTCTATACAATCATATTCCGATACTTTGAACCTGAAATCGAAAAAAAAAATGTATCAACCGATCTAATAACCCTTTTTATCAGACACCCCTAAACCATCTCTCAACTAAAAGTTACTTAGTGTGATGTAGCACCTAAACTAACCCCTTACTCGTACTGTTAGGCGACATTTATCATCATGATCATCATTATATCAGCTACAGGACGACCACTGCTGAACATAAGCCTAAATGTCTTTGAAAGACACTTAGCTTAGGTGTTCTATCAAATTTAGGAGTGGTTCGTGAAAACAAGCTCTAGAGTTCAAAACATCACCTGTTCAGGACATCAGCTGCAGCCAAGGTGCCAGAGGAAGGTTCTCCTGACCGAACCTCCTCCTCTTCACCACCGCCTTCCTCGAAGGTCTTCGGCGAGTCCAAGCTGATGCCCATCTTCTCAAGATGTTCCATCGTACTTTGATATAAGATATCTCCTCGGACGAGGGTCTATTTACAAATTAGAAGTCAAATTATTTATATTTTAGATATTTAACCCTTAGCAATTTCACTCGGACATCATGGCGGCGCAACCCGTCGTCGCTACCAACAACATGTATACAATAAGCTGGTTGCGCATCCAAGCGGACACCAGGTGACTAATTGTCTATAGACCTGTGTACATTTAGGACTCGTACACAAAACTACGATGCGACGTCGCATCGCAAAAATGTGCGAGCTCCCTCTACGCATCGCAAGAACTTGCGAATTGATTCGCATCGCGCATCAAAATCTTAATTCCTAAAATCTTCTTTGTTTCTTTTTCCTGTATCTCCTAAGCAATAACAGAAGTTCACACTTCTGTTTACGATCCATGTCACGACCTAGTTCTCAATTTAAAATACGTTTAGTACGGTTGACGGTCGTCGAAGGAATGGTCACCCTGGGAGACGCCTTGTCGCATGAAATAGCATTGCAGCAATTCGCATCGTAATTTTTTGCGTTGCGAATTCGCATCGCAGTTTTGTGTACGAGCCCTATAAATGTGTTAGTTTATTAGTGATGGGCATGTTCATGTCCCAGGTCTACGGTAAAATGGGACCATATGGTATTCTCTACCAGTCAAGCACAGAGATGTAATGATGTGTGTAACAGTAATTCTAAATAAACGTGACAGACATGTTTTCCTTCTTCTATCAAAGAGCTTACCTCATCAACATCATCAGAGGTCCAATCAGCTGGGTCTACGACTTGAGTCATAGCAAGGGCAGCAATAGAGACAGGCGTGGCCTGTCTACCGCGGTGTTCCTCAGGGAACCGAGCGTCTGCTTCGTGGAAACTGCCGCGGACAATCCAACGACCTGGTGCCACCGCTGTGGCAGATCAACAGATGAACAGTTAGCATTCTGGACTATTTTTTGCGGAGGAGATTTTTAAATTCCTCTGGCTCTCGACTGACTTGAACACCACCCCGTTCCTACTCCTGGATGGAATTTAAATCCCTGTAACCGTTGTGGTTAATCTGTGGTCTTGCAACTTTTGGAGATTTAAACATAAAGGAAAGGAAATAAAACTCTTAGTGTAAGATAGGGGACACTTAATGTCACATCTTTTTTTAAATCACATACATCTAACAGCACACATAAGGGGTAAGTTCACTTGATTCCTCACGATACATAACTTTTCGCTAAGTGGTAGTTTAACTCGTCGAGTACCGGTTTTGTAGACACAATTATAGAACAATAGGTTGCGGTCACCGGTGACCGCTTGGTGTTTGACAGTTTAAGGGTGATTGTGACAACGGCCATTGGGCTTCTGTGTTTGCTTCCCATCAGGTGGGTTGTAAGATTTACACACACATAACATCGCGCCTTATCCCCCAAGGGGTAGGCAGAGGCAGCACTTGATGCCACTGTACAATGAAACACTCACTTTCACTATTTATGTTATGAGTCCCATGTAATAAGGGATGAGCCTATTGCCATATACTGGGCACATTCCAAACTCCGTGCTACTACTGAGATTTTATTATAAAACCCAGAAATAATTTGCTCGATTCAAGAATTGTTCTGAGACCTTTGCCCAGCAGTCACACTTGCGACCACTCGGCCAACTAGCAATAATAGTATTAAAACTGTCAAGGAATTCTAAATCACATTAGACACTCACGCTTCATCTTGTTCACAGGTTCAGGCATATCAACGCTCTGCTGGGTGACGGCGACGTCGCTGATGCTGAACGGCTTCCTCTTCATATTAGAGACATTGTCCATGAAATGTTCACAAAGACGAGATACCCTTGGGAAGTACATCACACAGCCTTTGCCTCCGTCTTGAAGACCCACCTGGTATCAAGGTCATTTAAAGGATTTTTTATGTAATAAACGTCGTCTGGTGGTGCACGATAATGCGGTTTACGATGGAGCACGTCTACCTCTACATATGCAACCTATTCACTCGGTCATTGAAGACACCCAGGTTATGCTCTTCAGGAAACACAGACTCTAGAAAGAGTTCCACTCCTTAGCGGTTCGCTCAAAGAAACTCGAAGCGAAACCCTTCGTGCGAGTAGGTGGAATACTATGCTTCCGTTGGTTGTATTTAAAGCTTCATATTTAGATTTGATAAAAGCATGGTTTAGCTTATTATCACATTTCGGTTGTACCTCTCAAAACCGTTAAAACTCCTGAACACCAAGAACTACAGTAGATACAACCATGCAAACACCGGAACACTGAAATCCAATGTCCTAGGGACATGAACAACTGTCTTGGATCTCGCAACGAAATCTATCAAAGGACATCATTAGAGGACAAAAAATCGAAAGAGTTTTAGAATGTCTTAAGCCTAAAAGGTACAAAGAGACTGTGCAACTGAGGGAAACCTAGTTGCCAAGCGATAAGTTGGTGGAATGTTAAATTATACTCGGATTGGCTTTACTTGTATTAATTAATATAATGTGAAAGGCACACGACGTGAACACACACCACAGCATGACGGTTAGACAGCGTCATTCTTGACAAGTGTTCTACCTTATATGATACATTATAGTGAGGGGACCACTACTTTTTTATGGAGCAGATAGATCACCTGATGGTAAGCGATCAGCGCCGCCCATGGACACCCGCAATACCAGAGGAGCCACAGGTGGGTTGCCGACCTTTGAAAAAGGAGTACGCTCTTTTCTTGAAGGTCGTATCGGTTCGGAAATACCGCCGACGACAGATCATTCCACAGTTTTGCTATGCGAGGCAGAAAGCTACGTGGGAAGCGCACAGTTGTGGCCTGCCAACCATTTATATGATGGGGATGCATATGCTGTCGTAATACTACCTACTAAACTAGTGATGATAACAGCAATGTTAGTTAGAATGCGACTTACCCTGGTGCCATATCTATCAGCAGGCCAGGGGTGATACAAGTAATACTTGCCACCCTCAAACCAGATCGCCGTCTCGTATTCTCCCGGGACCTGGTACATTGTAGTTAGATCAGTAAACGCTAAAGGAGAAGTAGTATACGTACTCACTTACAAAATTTCCTGGTCAAATTAAAATTAATTATTTGATTTTGACTTTGACTTGGACTGATCTCGTCTTTTGGACGTTGCCATTTTCAGTTTTTGGAGTGATATGACCCTTATTTGATAGTCCAGTTTTGTACGTTGCATTTTTTGATAGTCTTTTGTAATTTCCCCGTTTTGATATTTCTCTTTTTTATGTAAACCTTTTTTGGTGTTGCTCCTTTCTGTCCTGACCGTTTTCACGTTGTGTCTTTTTCATATATCCCCTTTAACTGTTTCATTGCTGTTTTTTAAGTTACGATCCCCATCTTTGGCGTCGAAAAAATACACATTGCCCGAAATTACTCCCACCACGACAAAATCTAGAAGTTACATAACATAACATCACGTCTTTAATCTCCAAAGAGGTAGGCAGAGGTGCACATTACTGCATTTAATACCACTGTACAATGTAACACCCACTTTTCACTATTTATGTTATGAGTCCCATGTAATAGGAGGTGAGCATATTGCCATTTACCGGGCACAATTCCAGACTCCGTGCTACTGCTGAGAATTTTATGAAAAAGCCCAGAACTACTTTGCTCATTCGGGAATGGTTCCGAGACCCTTTGCCCGGCAGTCGCACTAGCAACCACTCGGCCAACGAGGCAGCCACATTATTGTAATTCTTAAAATCCACTTACTTGCAGGATCCCCGAGTCTGATTCCTTGAAGAAGTGTTCGATTCCTCGGCAGAGATCGAACACTTTTGGATTGTTTGATATCAACTTGCCCCAGACGGCGATGCCTCGAATCTATACAAAATACTAGAGACTTTTAATAAAATGTGATAAAATGGTCACCTATTATGGCACCTAATGTGTCGTGGTGGCCCGGAGGTTTAAGACGCCCGCTTCTCATGCATGAGGGTGCGGGACTGAAGCCTATCAACGGCAAGTACCAATGTGACATTTCCCGAGTTATATGTACTATCTAAGATTATCTAGACACCACTGACAAACGGTGAAGGAAAACATCGTGAGGAAACCTGGACTTATAATTTCTACCTGTAATTTATTTTGACTAGTTGTCAACTACCGTATTTCCAGTTTCATGATGATACATCAATTTGTAGTGTGTGTAATTCAGATTATAAAATTTTATTAACATCTAATCTATGTACGTTTAAATATAAGTCTTGTATGAAATCACGTAATTTACAATCATGGTCTACCACCAGCTCATCATCATCAGCCTGTATTCGTCCACTGCTGCACATAGTCCTCTCTAATAGCATGCTACTGAGCTCGGTCTTCAGCTCTTCTCATCCAACCACTGCCAGCCACCTTGCAGATGTCGTCACTCCACCTAGCTGGAGGGCGCCCTACACTACGTTTGCCTAGACGCGGTCTCCACTCTAGAACACGTTTACCCCAACGGTTATCGGTTCTTCGACAGGACGGTGCGAGCCGCCGCACGGTTCGGACGTGTTTAACGAGCGCTTCGCCACTGCGCCGCGTCGCGACAAGGTCACGCGCCGCTAACGGCTAGCGGAATATTCCACTGTGTTTAAATACCACCGTGTTATTGTTTATTATTTATTGAACATTGCAAAATGTGATTTTTACCTAACATTAAGTGAATAATGAAAGCGACTCTTCAGCAATGGAGACGGACTTACTAGTTAATAGGGAAATTGTGAACTTAGAGCATGGTGTAACATGCGAAATAGTTAAAGAAATATCAACAAATGAAGACGGAACTTTTACCGTGCAGTGCAACCAGTGTAACTATAAAAATTATATAAAAAACTTTTTAGAATGGACAAATGGACAGACTAAAATAAAAACGGTGAAATGCAAAAATTGCACCAAAACTAGTGTAATAAAAATTTGTACATTTGTGAACCACCGTCACATGAATAGCAAATTTATACCGGACATTTATTATAAAATTTACTCGTGTGTAAACACGGTAGTAAGAAGTGTATTTCATAACTGTGTGGAATGTAAAAAACAAAGAAACATCAAAGCGATCCCTCAAACAGAGTTCACTGCTCAAGAGGAATACGTATGTAACTGCTTAAAAATAAATACAATTCAAATTAAACCGAGTGAACTTAACTTAAAACGTAAGAAACACTCGACAGAAAAACTAATTGAATTTCAAAAAACAACAAATGGTACCTACCTCTGTCAAAATCGGTTTGAGTTACTTCAGACCTATGAAAGTGATCCGAACCAGGAAACTAAAAGTGATATAGTGCCATCCCGCTCACACTCAGTGTCTTCGGTAAGCGATCAGCCACCAAGATCGCGAAGCCAATCACTAAAGCGCCCACATCCATACGAGGGAGAAGGTGAATCTCAAGCGAAAAAAGCTACAAGACGAACAGAAACACTTCGCAGTTCACGTAAAACTTTAGCTACTACTGAGAAAAATAAATCAACCAGCACACACGTCCCGCCAATACTGATCACGGACGAAAGATACAAATATAAAGATAATAAAGATACAAAAAAGATTCTTAGTGATCTACTCATGAGGGATCTGACAAAACTAATGAACAAACACCAAGGCCGTATCGTTAGAAATGAAAGAAGCAGAAATATTCTCATTACACTCACCGACTTAGACAAAAGAGCAAATGCTATCGAAGACATCAAATGCTACAAACCAGATCTCGTATTCATAGCACCAAAACCTAAGGCAGAACAAATAAAAACAACAAAAATAATCATAAGAAATATGGCACACGACTATCCAGTCGAAGACCAGAAAGACGAGATGGAAAAGTGCATTGGCATCCGCCCTCTTAACATGAAAAAGATAACAAGCGATGTACAACTATGTATATTCAGCGGCGATTTTTCATACAGCGAGATAGCTGAAAGAATGAAAAATGCAACAGAAACATTCTATTGTGCACATAAGTTAAGGCCTGAAAAATATAAAGTAGGGTCAGATAGAGTGTTACAATGCAAAAACTGTTTCAAATTTAACCACGCAACAAGCGCATGTCACGCACCAAAAAAAGATCCCACTATACTGATAAAAAATAATCAGAATGAATCGGTGAGAGTCTGCTCTAACTGCAATGACGTAAAGCCAGAGCAACACACTGCAACACAAAGAAAATGTCCACTATTTAAAAAGGCAATTGAGAGACAAAAGAAACAATCTGAGCGGAGGGAAGAGCAACGTACAAACGTTTCATCCACTCATAAGCCAACAACAACACAACAAGAAACAATTAGAAAATCGAGATCCCCAGTGCGTAGATCGAGAATCCAACAGGGTACATCATTCGCACAGGCAGTGGCCAGCAGACCGACTAGCAACAACGAAAAGGAACTAAGGCCATTACACAATAAAATAACCAGCGACGACAAATACGCTATATTCGATAAGACCATGGAAATGTTCATGACATTTATGAAGGAACTCAGAAATGTTCTACTTAACTAAGGGCTGTAAGAAACGTATAAAAATCCTGCACATTAACGTGCAAGGTATTAGAAAAAAGTTTATTGAAATAAAACAATTAATTAACAAATATCATGTGGACATTGTTGTTTTAAATGAAGCCAAAATTAGTTTGGCAAATTTAAAATTCAACATTCAAAATTACGATAAGATATACGATCAGAAAGCCAATCATCTGGGCACAATCATGTATATAAAAAAAGGTATGAGGTGGGCTCAAACCAAGCTCATCAGTTCCTTTAGTGACGATGAAAGAAACATAGAGGGATGCAGCATTAAAGTCTTTACCAATCACACAACCGGCGAATACATCACAGTGAAAGGTATCTACATTCCAATACCAAACCAAAATGAATTATCAGACGAATTCGAACAACTGCTAAGAGAAGAGAGTGCTTTCATAATCGGAGACATGAACATAAAAATGCGTTTGCTCGGCCGATCAAACGACAGAGGTCTCGGAATTTTATTACGTGACATACACAACAACGGAGACTGCAGAATCATACATTCCGGTCAGCCATCCAGACCCACAAGTATAGGCAATAATAACATTTTAGACATAGCAACTTTAACTTATGACCATATGGATCTAGATGTAAAATCATGCAAACAGATAGAATCCATAGGATCCGATCATATGCCGTGGATAACCACAATAAACTTGGAAAATGATTACGAGGTCCCACTCGGCCGCAACCTAAAAGATATTAAATCAAGTAAAGATATGCGAGACTGCTTCGAACAATCTCTAGCAACGAAAATTGACCCAAACACGAAAATCGAAACAGATACAGACTGTGATAAAATTATTACAAAACTAGAAAAAGCTATAGTAGCGACACTAGATGAATTTGCACCGCTCAAACCAATTAATAACAGAGAAAATCTTCCCCAAGACATCCAAAACTTGATAAAATGTCGAAACAAGGCAAAAAACACTGCATGGCGTTTAAGATTTACTAATCAATACGGCGAATTGAAACGACAATATAATAGATTAAAACGCCTCCTAGCTACGAAAATCATAAACCACAAAGAAGAAACCTGGAAAAAAATCCTAGAAAACAAAACAGACAATAGAAAGAAAATGTGGAGTATACAGAGAGCCATAAAAAAACCGCCTCAGAGACTACCCTACATAGAAAATTGCAACACAGAACTGGAGATCATAGATAATTTAGTACAAAGTGCCATTATTCGTACATCCAATATTTCTCGTGATGATGAAAATACGGAGAAATGCACACCATTTCAACCGTTAGAAGCAACATCACATGCTGAATTAAAAATAGCTTTAAGGAAATTCAAAAACCGAAAAGCGCCTGGCCCTGATGCAATAAGAGCGGATTTTCTAAAACTCGGTGGTGACACTGTGGTAGCAATATTTAAAAGAATAACGGACTATATTCTGAATACGGGTTACTTTCCTAAGCGATGGAAAGAAAGCACATGTATTTTTCTTCACAAACCAGGAAAAGACTACAAACAGCCTAAGTCTTACAGACCCATTAGCCTTCTTAATATTCTGGGAAAATGGGCCGAACGCATAATCCTCTCCAGATTAAACACAGAAATAAATGAACTGATTCCAGAACATCAACATGGATTCGTTCGTCATAGGGGTACAGCAACACAAATATTGAGAACTGGCAAATGTATCACAGACGCATTGGCGAAAGG